TCCATGCTCGTGGTGCTTGTTTCAAACCGTAAAGCGCCTTCTTCAATTTTAGTACCTTCTTCTATTCTCTAATTTTCATGTACTCGGGAGGTTGTTCGAGGTATACTTCTTCTTCAAGCACACCATTCAAGACTGCTGACTTGACATCCATTTTAAAAATCAGCCATTTGAATTGAGCTGCTTGAGAAATGAGCAATCAGATTGTCTCCATTCTAACGAAGGGAGCAAACACTTCGTCATAGTCGATTTTCGCCTTTTGCTTGTATCCCTTCGCAACAAGTCGTGCCTTGTACCTCTCAATCTCGCCTTGAGCATTCATTTTTTTCTTGAATACCCACTTCACACCTATGGGCTGACTTCCTTCCAGTAATTCTGTCACTTCCATTGTGTTGTTGCGATGAATCACTTTAATCTCCTCATCCATGGCAGTTTACCACTTCGTGTCTCGCACCACCTTTTCAAAGCTGATATTTTCAGCATCTGCCAGAAGACATACAAGGTGTACCTCATTTGTTGAGTCATACAAATCTCACAAACTTCGCATTTTGGGTTGTCGTGGTTCATCTTCATCATCGAAAATTTCTGAGTTTGTTGGTGCACTTGTTGGTGCAGCGACTGAGGATTCTCCAACTTCGATATTGACTTCCGTCAAATTGTTCCAGTCTCATTCGCTTGCTTCATTTACTCGCACATCGCGACTCACTATCACCATCTTGCTAATCGGGTCACGTAGTTCGGAAGGAATGGAACATGCATAATATTGTGGTGTATACAATATCGTATCATAAATTCATGACGAACATAAATGTTGTACTGTACATGTCCGTACTAATCATAACGCGGAAGTATCCTAATACACGTAAACATAGAATATACTTGAGGTCCTTATAGTTTAAAATCATGACACGTATCCATAAAGCAATGCATATCTTCATTCATTTCATACATAACGTAATCGTTCCATATCATTGAAGGGAAAGAACTCTTCATCCACGTAGTGGAAGCATTGAGAACCGTTTTGAAATTTATTATGAATTAAAACAAAAGCAATAAATTCGAGTATAAGAACTCTACCTAAACCCTAGCTTGCAAGACTTATTGAAGTAATCCAACCATGAAAACGTTCTTCCACATTCCACAAGATCTTCCTTGCTTTGACTCAAACACAAAGTCAAGGCTTGTGGGAACCTCTTGAAAGAAAATNAATCCCAAAGGGATTGGAGAAGAAGAAATAGTTTCGAGAATTCTGCATTTATTATCCAAAGAAGTAAGAGAGATTGATATATTTTGGCTCAACCCAAGGGTCCTATTTATAGGGACTCTCAGAGAATCATTGCCAAATAATATATGTGTATATTTAATATATTATTATATAATACTTTGTACAAATCATATTTAGATATTATAAATTCTAATATATATTTAATTAATTTGAATCTTATTCAAATTTCAAATATATTTTTATTTAATATATCAAAATACATTAATTGATTTAATATTTAATTATATTAAATACAATAAATATATTTTTCATTTTTAATATATTTAATATACTAAATATTAGTTGAATCCTTCACATTAATATATTTTCTCCATTTATATTTAACCTATTTAATATATTAAATATTAATTTGAAAACTTCAAATTAAATATATTTTATCTATTTATTTAATATATCTAATATATTAAATATCAATTTGAACATTTCAAATTTCTTTTAAATAAATTGAACCTTTTAGCGTTACAATGAGTTAACAGGGGACCTACATATTATAAGCTCCAATGATATAAAATTAATTAATTAATTAACTAAACTCTTTAATTAACCAATTTTCATTCATTGACGTTTGTCCACTCCACTATAGATCTAGAGTTGCACTCTTATGCACTATAGGACAAGTTATGTCCATTGATATAACTATTACAAGAAAGTCGATCCTTCACGAGTTGTTCATAATTACAATTGGGTCAAAATTCCATTTTACCCCTACAATTACATCTTAAGTACCATTGATTCTCTAATGAACAATTGGTTCATGATCCAATCATAAACTAAATTCCTCTCATGCTAATGAAAGGGTGGGGCCCATTGTTCTAAGTCCCAAAATCAGTACTTTAAGGGAACAAGTCATCTACTTTCCATATAGGAAAGGAGTGAATTCCATCTCATGATATTATGTTCCAAACTCCCTATTTGGTCAAGTCCCCAAAATGGTAGGCATATTGAATCGGCCAAAAAGAGAAATTTTCACCAATGTAAATTAAAGGACAAGTCCTCACAGACAGGAGTTCATAACTCACTCAAGATTAAGATCGAGTCGCATCTAATCATCATGTGAAATATTAATCTTCTCAATTAATGGATTTATAAAGAGAGATTAAATATTTCTTGGTCCAGTCTTATACAAACTCGTTGTATAGAATACCCCCACTTACATGTCTCCACATGAACGATTTGGATCAAATCATTTATAACGATTACAAAGCGGCCGTACCAATAGTGTTACTAGGATAAGACACCCAACCTTATTCATATACTATAAACTCTGTAGGTTATTACTTGAACCTGATTTTCTTGTATGTCAACCATATACTGTTTAAGATACATTAATAACCTTAGATTTTCATACAATGGATAATAATTAAATTACAAATAAAATAATAAAAACTATGGTTAAAAACTAAATAATTAATTACGACTTTAAGGCCTAAATCCCAACAATATCTCTCTTTTTCTTTCCTTCATCTGGTAATAAAGTTTGTATTCTTTTTCTTTAATAGCTTTGACAATCATGTAACATAAAAAAGTAAAGTTTGTATTCTTTTTCTTTAATAGCTTTGACAATCATGTAACATAAAAAAGTAAAAGTAAGCACAGTTGCTTCAATTTCTTATATCGAATTTGTTCCTTCTTCAAACCCTTTCGTCTTCGCTTCTTCTTCCACACTACTACTCCCTACCACTTTTACTGCCTTAAACATAAAACTTCTCCCTATACTATCTAGATCTAGCTGGCTAGGATAATCAGGTTGACAGCATGCATGCTTATTCCAAGCGTTTCCTACGAGTACTGCTCATGGGAATCTAAATGATGACTTACTTGTCTAATGTGTATTTTCCCAAGTCTGGGTTGATTAGTAGTAGAGGAGTCAAAAAATTACCAAATTCCTCTATAGGCACCAAATTCATAGTAAAACAACATTAGTATTGAAACACGAGTGAAAGATGGGCAATCGAGCGACTATGAATTAAATAAGAACAATGATATCTATATATGATTGACTATGAATTCACTTTAGAATGAGAATGTGATATTGATGCATGATAAAGAAGAAAGAGAAATTTGTGAAGTCTGCGCTCCGGGTGAAGATGGACGTTATCTTCCCGTCGAGCATGTTTGTTAATATTGCATAAACTGCTACATTTTAACTCCAATCCATGATTGCTTGTGTTGTCTTTCTTATTGTGAATAGGAAGAAAGTACGAGCCTAGACTATGGCGCATGAGACAGTAAGCTAGACAAAGACCTAAAACAAGTTTGAGAGTCCTATTGCAAGAATCTTAAAGATGAATGAGTCCAAGTTTAAGCCAC